TTCCACCATTATTATAATAATTGGAATGTAGGGCATTTATAAGATAACTGTTGCATAACAAGCAATTTGGTATTGGCTGAAACATGTAAAAAAATCATGTTTCTATTCTCTGAAAAACAGCTTTTGTAAATAATAATATTTAGTTATTTAAAATTCTATAATACTAACTGTAATTTTCTGTATTTGTTACTTATAGGAATTGTACTAGTCTCCTTCACAGCCTTACCTTTCGTCAGGCTTTCTGTCCCTCATGCTCTATAAGAGCATCTARTTTCATATATAATATCCCCCAAYAATTCCATRCTGTGCAGAGAATACAWAAAAAGAAAAAAAAGAAAAACAGMAAAAACGTCTAATGTTTAAAAAAATAGACTTATGTCCAGTGAATGTGTCAGTATCAAAAAAGTCTTATACTTATCTATTTTTACTGCAGTTCCATTTGAAGTGTTAATTATTGAACTATCATGTTTACTGYGGAGTCAAAATTGTGCTGCATTATAACTGGAGCTAGCCGTGGATTTGGTGCTTCTCTATCAAAAGAGATAGCAAAACAGTCTTGTAAATCTGGCAATTCTGTCTCTCTTGTTCTTGCTGCTCGGTCATTATCAGGGCTTGAGAGGACAAAATCAAGTATTGGTGAAATTAATTCATCTGCTCAAGGTATTTTAGATGTTAAATATTTGTTATATGTAATATGTATTCTAATAAAATCATATGCAATATGTATTTATAGTAAACAGCACAAGGGTTTTTATCTTCAAATTCATATGCGCTTTTTACAATGTACGTATACATTTTCGTGTCAGGCTTCCTGTCCCTCCCCTACCGACATGAAAACAGATGCGAAGGAGACTAATAAAATATACTTGATATATAAGGCTCTGCCACCTCATTCAGAAGTATGACGTGAGCAGAGTCACAAACATTGTTACATGTGCATATAAATGGCAAATTCACTGAGTTTATATCTGTTAACAAGAGTAGATCCAGCTAAAATTTTAAGGGGTTGAGGCAAAGTGGTTTTAAGGGGGGCTAAATGGGCTTCAAAATTTGTTATAAACATCCACTGGAATATTCTGTAAAGTTAAACTAATAAGGAAATCGATACGTTGCATTACCAGCTGGTGGCATTTAATTACCCTCTGGTATTAATAGTCCCATGGGACAGTGCAGTGTTTGGTTCCATTAAGTTAGGACAAAGGTTATTTTGCCAAATGAAAGCTTATCAATTAGTCAGAGTAAATTTCAAAAATGCATGACAACGRGTTGGGCATGCAGGGTAGTTTAAATCTGTCATGTAACTTATCAGTTGTGCAAAAGAAAAAAAATCAGGCTTTAATAGCTTTCAAAGTAACAACAAGCTTATTATTATGTCAAATTAAAAGTTCGTCATGAGAAGATTTCAAAAATATATGAATGATATTGGGATGAGTGCAACATCAGTTGGTGGTCTTTAGACTACAGGAATGTCATATASAACTCAATCTTATCAATAACAACTGATTCAACTGATTGGTATTTTTGGGTRTATTTTCAAGAAATAAACTATGTTTATTATATAAAATTAAAKCCCATCATAAACTTWAAAAAATTATCTTGAAATGTGGGCATGCATGGTCAAGCTAAAAGGCCATATGACCTAAAATGTTTTGCAATTTTCACTTTTAATACACAACTATCTGAGATTTTGATAGCTCATTGACTAGAGATCAACTTTCTGTCCTAGTTTTAAATTCAGTTTACGATGAGCTTTAATTTGATATACAATTAATTTTTGTCATTGAATTAAACTGGAAAATACAAAAATCTGTTTCTATGCATAAGTTCAATGGATCATGTWGTGTGACATTCTTTATAGCTCATGTGATCATAAGGTTTAATGTTTCTTTGAAAGATATTAAAGCCTGATTGACCCTTTTAATGCTTTTTGTGTCCACCTTTTCATCACTTTATTTCTGAAAACCTAGTGATGATAAGCTTAGTTGATGTATGKTTAACTGTTGTCCCCCTCTTATAGTATCAGTTAACCTCCAATTTCATGGACAAATTTTTAAACTGCATCAATAATGCATTATGTCATTAATTTATTAATTGACACAGTTTCCTGTTGCATCTGCTAGTTCACTGTGTGACTACAGACCTTCAAGATACAGAATCGCTTTCATCCTCAATGGAAAATGTTTTTGGAAAGGTAAAATAGAAATAGCCGAGTTTAGATATTTTGGTTCAGTGACCATGCACAAAAGAATTGCAGACGAGGCTCCGGGGAAATAAAGAATAAAACGATATTATACGCTCTTTGATTGGTCATTTTGAAGCGTGCACTTCAAAATAACTCTTTGCAATATTAAAAATAAATAAAATTATCAATAGGTAATCTTGATTTATTCTTTATTCCCCGGAGCCTC